AAGAAGAGAGAGGGAGAGAGAGAGAGAGAGAGAGAGAGAGAGAGAGAGAGAGAGAGAGAGAGAAGGAGGGAGGGAGGGAGAGAGAGAGGGAGAGAGAGCGGAAGGAAGGAGGAAAGAAAGAAAAAAGAAAGATGTAAGATTTTATATAGTTAATGGATATACTACCAGACTGCCAGCCAAAAAGATTGGGTTAATTTGCACTCTCATCAAGCATATGATAGGGCCTATTCCTCATACACACATACACATTGTATATTGGTAATTAGAGCCAATATAAGATGCAAAAATATATCAGATTACCTTTTTATTTATATTTTCCAAATTATCAATTATCTTGACCATCATATCCATTTATGTAACAATTAGTTATTAATATTCTTTGAGTATTTTTCTGTTCAGCTGTATTTTTCTTACTGATTTGAGGTTCCTTCTACATTTTTGTATATTAATTGTTTTTCTGTTATATAGGTTGTGCATATAGTCTCCCAAATATATATATTTTAAAGACATAGCCAAATCTCAGCAACAGTCATATAGCAGTCCATTAGTGTGTTGCTCTCCAACTAATTTGAAAAACTAATTTACCACACGTTAAATTTTTACTTAAACTCAGATATGTTTCATGGATTGACTTATATTCCACTTATATATGCATATAGTTTCGCCTTAGTATCACATTTTTGTAAACATAATTATTTTATTTTTTGTTATTTTTCTCTTTTATTCATACATGTTTGTAGTACATACTGATTACATTCACCATGGGAAATTGGGGCATATACATGACACATCTTAATTCTTTTTTGTCCTCTTTCCCTCCCTTTCCTTCCCCTCCCTATATCTCTTGGACTTCTTCATTCATATATATATATATAATTACATATATATATCATTACTTTTTATATATTACTTTATACATTTTACATGTTTGTAGTATATAATGATTATGCTCCTTGTAGGATTTGGTACATGTATACAACACATAACAGTTCTATTCCATTTTTTAATCCCATTTCCCTCCCCTCCCTCCATCTCTTGGTTCCCTTCCCTTATGCTAAAGATCTATCTTGCTATTTCCTACTTTTTATTATTTTGCACTTTATTTGTATTTTGGGTTTCTCATGTAAGATAACCCATATGATATTTAAGCTGTGTGTCTGATTTATTTCACTTAACATTATGGTCTCAGGATGCATCCATTTTCATATAAATGACTAAATTTATCCTTCCTATGGCACAATACCTCTCCGTTGTTTATAAATTCCACATTTTCTTTATCCATTAATCTGTTCATGGATATATAGTCCACTTCCAAGGTTTAGCTATCGTGAATTAAACTGCTATTAACATGGGTATATATGTATGTGGATATGCAGATCTGTAATATGATGTCTTTAACTCTTTTGGGAAGATACCTAGAAGGGGAATACCTGGGTTGAATGGAATTTCTGTCTTTAGTGTTTTGAGAAATCGCCATACTGATTTCCAGAGTGGTTATACTTGTTTATACT